AAAAAAAAAAAATAACAGAGAATGGTGAGGGCGGAGTACGAAACATCCAGAACTGCTGTAGACACTCCACGCCACATCACTCCATTATATTATTACCCATAAAAGTAGAAAAGAAAAGAAAAGAAAAGAAAACCCACGCACTCCAGCAGCTGCTCCCAGTGGTTCCAAAGCCTCAACAGTAATTGTTCAGGGCGCAGCGTGGCACGTGTTGCAAAAAAAAAAAAAAAAAGATCATTTACCAGTGTGTATCCCACTCAAGAAGAGAACACTCATAAAAAGAAGGAAAAGCAATGCTTTACAACCCCTTGTTTCTCCCGCTCACACGTAGAAAAAAAAAAAAAGAAAACAAATTTCACATGGTTCACCAACGTCTGTCCCTGCAAGCGGTGTTGTCAAGGAATGTTTCACAGCAGACCCCAGAGCACAATGAAGTGAAGCACAATATCAAAGGGCTCACACATAATTCAATTAAGCAATTTAATTAATTCCAAACGAGAATTAAACTGATGTACAGAAATCAAAACAAAAGCACAAATTATCACACTCCACACATACGTAAATAAGAGCCAGAGCTCATGGAGCCATTATTGTAAACACGGCCAAGAAAATGAACAAAAGCGGCACTAAAATAGCAGCAGTCACACTACCATCACTGCGTCCATCGTTACCATGATCCACGTACGCACCGAGTTTCATTGGTCGGCCTCGCCCTTTATCAATAACTCTGTTGATTGTATTGCACACATCAGCGTATTTGGGGCACACAATTTTACCCTGCAGTACATTCCCCTTCACAGCTAGTCTTCCTCCTTCAGGACAACTGTACCAATTATCGTTTCCACTGTACCGCACACTTACCTCATTTTTCTTGCAAGACACCTCCACACACACGGCACCAACAGCTGTATCGTCAGCGATCAGATTCTCCCCCTGCACACAACGTGAGTTGGCAGCAATTAAACTTCCAGGCATTTGGCTCTGATCCCCATCGGTGCAGCTCGTTTCACGCTTTCCCACGATAATAGGGCAATAGTCCATTAGATCAGTTTTATTGCCCCCCAATTTACCGTCTGAAAAATATTGGAACTGGCCTGGAAGGTCCCTCTCATGGGTTTGAATGGTGCAAGTTCCCAGCGACTGGCGGTCAGATGTGCACTGTAGTCCTGCAGATCCCTCAGTGGATTCGGTTGTGCAGAACATATCGGGGAATTTAGTCCTGCCTCCCTCAACACATTTCTTCTCCAGCAATCCACAACCAGAGTTATTGCCCCAACTCATCTGCTCTGCCATTGTCCAATTAACTTTGTAGTAGCCCAGATCAGCGAAAGCTCCCAATGTGAGTGCGGTGTAGTAACCAGCACCGACGAGACCAACCATCAACTCGTCCTTAGCAATACGACGACTCCAGTGAGAAGAGTATACCATGCTCCCTGGAGACACTTTATACTTTTCCACAACCTGAAGCCCCTGGTAAGAAGAGCTAGATTCCCCAGCAGGAACTACATCAATCCCATTAAGCTTTTGATTCATTGGTTTCCTTAACGACATCATTTCTGTGCTTTCCGGCGTATCAGCCGAAGATCTCATATACGCTACTGTAGCATAAGATGCAACAGACTGCAATGGTAGCCCCCTATCAGAAACACAATTATAGTGTAACTTCGCAGCTCTACGTGTATTTTGGGACACCACATAAGGAGTAATTGTAGCAATAGTATATTGTCGACGCAGCATGGATTTTCCCTCCATATTATGGACATTAAATCCAAGTGCATGGGCAATCTCATGAGCAGCAACG